TAGAGCTCGAACTCCCCTTCGGCGTCTCCTACATCGCCAACAGCACCGACGAGACAGTCCCGCCACCTAACGACGGCGAGCCCGTAGCCGTCCTCCACCTAAGCAAGGAATCCAACGTCTCCGTAGCCTGGTCCTGGGGCCCATACGACTTCCAAACTGAAGCCGCAGCCGAGAACCTCCTCATTGACAGCTTATCCAAGGTTAACAAGGACCCGCGCAATGCCACGGAGCCATCGCAGCCCTTCTGCGAAGACGACGTCAAGGCCTTCAAGAAGTGGGATTACTTCCCGCATTTCGAGGGCGATGCGCTGTCCAACGGCGCTTACGCCAAGCTCAACAAGCTGCAGGGCCAGAAGAAGACGTACTACGCGAGTGGACTCAGCGGCATGGAAATTGTCGAGTGGGCCATTCGCGGTGGACGTGACGTTGTCGACACGTACTTCTAAGTGCTGTTACGAATTTCCTTGATTTCTCGATTACGACATTGTTGCACGGTATTCGGATGAAATGCCGTGCTGAACTGGACCTCGGTCTGTTTGCGACATCTGCGCGTCTATACCTGGAGGATACCTGTTTGTTTCCCTTTTTGTTTTCTGTTACCTGCTGTTCGGACGACGATATCACGGCTGGATTTCTGTTTTCTGTTACCCGCGCGCTTTAGATGATGATACCTACACGCCTTCGATGAGCGTCATGATCAGTTTTTCCTGGAGGGTTCTGCAATATAATTGCGGAAGGGGGGAGCTTTACGATTATGACCTGCATATGCCCCTGCGGAGGGGGCTTTTTAATGGTAATTACGAGTTTCATTCTGGTTTGGAAAGAGATGGAGATGGAAATTTCTACAGTTGGTAGGATTAGATATGTAGATATTTGAGCTTGAACTAAAATGTATCTCTCACCACAATCGTGGCTCCGTACTTTCTCTTACCTACACTCCATGACCCCACGGTTCCTGTACAGTAAAGCATTACATCAAGAACAAAAAAAGATAAATAGCTGGACTCGCGACGATTCGAACGTCGATCTCCCACTCCACCCTGAGCCTCTTGTTGCATCCGGGGGGATCCAACAGGAGGCTCCATACCAGAGGCATGGGGCTACTTAAAGCCTCTTCGACGTGAAACGTATGGTGTAGGCGCTCTACCGTTGAGCTACGTGTCCTTGAGTGGTGATTGTTGGAGGTTTGACGATCAAAATGATATGTGTAGTAGCATATAGAGCAATGACTTCATCACATAGTCTTCCTCTCACCTGAAAAGATATCGCAGAAGTTTATACTCAAAAAGAAACTAAATTTCTCGTACTAAGACTACGTAACAGGAGATTCTAGCATTAATAGGCAAAAGCCACGCAAAAAGAGAGGCTACATAGTCTACAGCCACGCAAAAGGAAAGAGATGCTGTCTTAGACATGGTGTGAGTCGAACACACGATCTCTTACAGTCTCGATCTAACAGGTCCCTCCGTGTATCAGAGCCCTCGTTTGCTGCAACGAGGTTGCCCAGGCTGCTCAAAGACTTGATACTCAGAGGTCACCCGTCAGAGTGACTAAGATGTAAGTGCCTTACCATTAGGCCACACGTCCTGAATTACTTTGCTTCGATGGAGTAAGGAAGAACTTGGATAATACAGGTAGAATAAACGAGGGACTGAGCGACTAGGTAAGAGCAAGGACTGGTGGTAAGTGAGGATGGAGAAGAATTGGGCATTAGATTGTAGGTGCTGGATTGAAGATCAAGACGAATATAGGACCTGACTTGCGTATAGGTTAAGATCCATCCAGCGTGCGGTACATCTTGGCCTTGTCCGTAGTACCTTGTCCGATGCAATCAGTACGACTGGCACCACTATCAATCTCTGGATATGCGGAGATCTCGCAGATTACACATGTTTCAAGATACCGGAACCACATCACCATCGTCATCCCAGCCCAAGTGATGAACGTTAAGTCCTTTCAGCTGCCACTCCTCTCGTGCTATACGTTGAGACCAAGATGTGTGTAGCAGCCTCCACTCTATCACATACCAAACGTAGTGCTCGAGAACAGGACAGGAAGGTAGAGTCTAAACCCTCATGCACCCTCAACCCATCGTTCTATTTTCGTAACAAGCTGACGTCGATGCTGTCAGTGCCAACTGTGGGTCAGTGTAGGGAAACGGCGTGGGTCTAGGTCCAGCCCAACACGAGGAAGACGCGTGTTGCTTACAAGCCCCGTCCCCTCACGGACGTGCTCGAACGTTATATAACTAGACCGTTTCACCTTAACGTCTCTTCATCTTCGGGCTTCGACTTCAGGCATACTTATCACAGGGTCTTCCATCTTTCTGCGTCGACTGATTAAATATTAAGCTACTACGGATTACTATCTACCCAACATCCATCATCCACCCGGCCACATCCACGTCCTTGAATCCACCAAACCAGCGTAAACAACGACAATCCCAGCCGGAGAAGCCACCGCATAAAGATGCATCAATCCACCCTGCCATTCCTCCCGTCCCCTCGCCAAGCACCAAAAAAGTCAAAAAGGTATATTGCGAATCATTTTCCCCAAGAAAGGATAAGAGCATCGCGTCGTAAAGAAACGTTAGAGTGAAGAAAGGAGCAACCAGCCGCTACCCATGCTCAGCGGTCCAGTGCTACGAAGGTACAGTAGCAAAGTACGTAGACACGCCAAGGTATGTCTACAAAGCGAGCATGGCAAGCATGACCGCAGCGCCGAGACCGGCGCCGACGGACATCTTGGAAGCTGCACCTTCGAAAGGAGGGGTCTCTGGGGAGGGCGAGGCACTGCCGCTGGGGCTGGGGCTGGGGCTGAGCGAGACGGTAACGCTGCCGGTGGCGCTCATGGTGGGCATGGCAATGGTGCTGTTGCTTCCAGTGGGGTAAGGGGTAACCATGGCGGAGCTCGATGTCTCAACAACACTGCTGCTCTTGGCGACGTACGCGCTCGACGACGATGATGGGGTAGGAGTAGGAGTAGGTGTAGGTGTGACCATGGCCGGGTAGATCTCGGGCAGCAGGCTCTTGACGTCGGTAGGCAGCGCCTGGTACCAGGCTGGTGTGTTGCCAGCAGCGAGCGAGGAAGCCATCTCAGCGGCGAACGCAGACGACGAGGCGATCGCATAGGCGACTTGGTCGGAAGGGATCGCCTGCGCGAGCTCCATGAGGACGGACGACTGGACTTCGGGCCTACGTCACCAGCATGTTAGCATGGATCTACATGTAGTCATGATGATTATCGCGGGTAAGCCGCGTGGTAGTCGCGTCGCGTTTGCGGGTGAGGCAGCAACCCGCAGATGGAAATAGATGTGGAGAACAGGGTAAACTTACGCAACACCCTGAGCGCTCACGCCCATAGCAAGCGCACCCAACGCCAAAGCGATAGTGTTGTACTTCATCTTGATAGTCTTGTCTCGTGTTGAATGATCGTAATTACAGCGAGTGTGTTTAGGGCTTCGTATGACGTGTTGGACAGCAACGGACCGACAGACAGTTGAGTTTAATAAGAGAGTGTGGAGAAAGTCTGCTTCTCGATGACGACGCGTTAAACAGACAGTCTGACTGACAGTAAAAAACTGCAGGGAGCGAGCAAAAAAAAGTGTAATGAGCGTAAAGGTTTGCGGTAACAAAGTGAGAGCGAGAGATGAGCAAAGGGAGGATCCCCGGCTGTATTTGAAACTATGGGCACAGGGCTCACGCGCTCCCTTCACGATAGGTTTGCTCGCCTGTGTGGTTGTCCCCTTGGGGGGACGGGGGGCCAGTGGGAAAAGCGGCTAACGGATGGGGAAAAAATAAGATTACTACACCAATCTTGTGACGGGGCCTGAGGCGGGCGACGCAAAATGGTAATTGGAATGGGGATATTGGCAGCGCAAGCGAAAGTGATTCGCTGATCGCAGGAACTCCTTTATGCTGTGCTGTTTCTGTTTGGTTGGGGCCCTTGAGGTTTTCTGCGACGTTTGACTCTTCTTCGTTTTTCTGCGTTTCTGCGCACCCCGTTTGTTCGCCCGGGATGGCCATGACAACTCCAAACACGGCGAGATCGTGATCACGCGATAGAGTCGCCGGCGTGCGATGGCGGTTGGCGGCGCTCAGGGCAAGGTGTCTCATCTCCTTGAAGCGCGGAGAAGCTTCTGATCAGGCCAATCAGAGCGGCCAGCGACGTCGCTAGTGGAAGGGTCAAATTTCCACTTTTTAAGCATGGCAGGGGTTCGCGCTGCCGTCTCCAGGGCAGCCCACATGGCCTCAATTCGTGTGCTGCAGGGACGGATGAGGTGCATATCGTGTTCTTCGCAGCCTCGTTTTGTCGCGTGCGTTGCTGATGATGCGTCACAAATGCGCCTATGTCGTGTAGCGCTGCAGTGCTCTTTCAGGTACAGCGTGTACTGAACATCGCCAATCCCATAGTTCGTCGCGATATGCCAAGGGAGGATTGCCAAACTGAAAACTGACAAGCGACACTGCACATCGCAATTAGTCGCCGGCAATTCGGCACTACTGCCCAGATAGCAGAACACCAAGCGCCGTTTTCCCATCTGCCGTCCAGACATCGTGAACTTGGCCATCATGGTTGATCTGCATAACACATCTCGTTTATAACGGAACACATGTTCTTTTGGTCATTTCACCGTCGAATAACGGCTGGCGGTTACTTTCACAAGTGCTTGTCCACGGCGCAGGACGCCTGATTCTGCAACAAGTCGACGACGACCGTTGGTAGTTAGGGTCAAAGATAAAGCGCGGGTCTCGCTATCTCGCCCTATTACGTTACGTACTATCGTTTCACTCACAACGCGATTCACGAACAACATCTGCAACGATAGTCCGATTCAAAGCAGTGCTGATGCATTATGATAGCGTATACAGCTACATCTCAAGAGCTTGGGCGAAGATGATCGAGATCTACGGCACTCATCTACCGAACGAGCAGTTTAGATGAGGCTGGAACGATGCACACCGCTTCGCAATATCACCGAAGCGCCAATCCATCTTTCCTCAATCCTCCATCTCCCTGGCGCGTGATACTCCAGCGACGGCAGTATGGTTCTGGCCACCGACGGGCTGACCGCATTCCGGACAGCGCGCTTGTTGCATGGGCATGCCGCATTCTCCAATGGCGAACTGCACTGTGTTAGATTATGATATTTCGGATCGGAGAGGAGAAACTTACTGGATGGCCGTTCACAAACTTGTACCAGTGCCCAGAGTGAGTCGCGATACCGCCACGTCCGCTGACCATGGCCTTTTTGATAGACTCCAATTCTTCCTTGGATACTGCCTCGTAGAACTCCTTGTTGAGCATCTTCGATGCAGCGACGACAGCTTGTCGCAAGTTATCCCGTCCACTGAAGCAACTCTCACAAAGCGTGTCCGCCTTTGACAACAGGTCCTTGGCGGTGTTGCGGTAATCCATGGCCTTTGCGCGATCGTTGTTCTGACCAGACTGAGCACTACCGAAGAACTGAGCGATTCGACCATAGTACAGTGTAGCCTCAACCGCAAGTTTAGGCAGACTCTCACGTATGCAGTCATCAATGAGAGTCTTCGTGTCTTTGAGGAACTGATCCGTCTTGGCGACGGGTGAACCACTGGGAAATTTGAGAGGCAAGGTACTCTGGAAATGCTTCTGATCCACAGTACGCATAATCTCGAAGTTCTCCTCAAGCACTAAACAGCGTACCTTGATTTTGAGCAGGCCACCGCCGAGGGTGATGCGTTCATCGCGATCGCGTTTGGCGGACTTTTCGGAAGAGTCGATTGTCAACTTTGCGAGCTCAACTTCCAGTGGATCACTTCGCGTCATGCTATGCACAGTCGCCTGGTGCAGCTTGTAGGTCGGTTGGTGTCGAATATCCATTCTATACTGGAAAGCCTTGACTGCGTTCAGTAACTTGGTCGTATCCCGTGCACGATTGTTGATCTCGTCGTTGATGGACTGCATAGTGAACTCGTGAGCTTCCTGACCGCGGAGCTGGACTGGCTTATCGGGAACAACCGACATGCGCGACTTCTCGAGGTCCTTCCTGACTTCCATGAGCTGGCCTTCTAGTTGCTGCAAGTCTTGTTGACCGTTGACGATGAAGCGCTTGGACATCTCATCGATGACAGCTCGGTTGATGAGCCGGTTGTAGCGCTGAGTAACATACTGCTTGACAGGCTCTCGACAATTAGGGCATTGTGGAATCGATGCGGAAAGCTCGGCGTTCTCAATCAGCCCGGTAAAGGCGCCCGTCTTCGCATCAACACTATACACGTCTTTGAGGCTGACTAGTCCGTCCAAAGTTTCGGTGGTGAAGAAATGACCGCAACCGAGAACGACGATGGGCGATTCATTCAGATTGACATCAGCATAGCGAGACATCATGATCATGTCTGGCTGCTCGTCTGACTTCATGCCACAATCTCGACAGTAATTGACTGGACATGCTTCACCGCAGATGCTCGGACACTGGTGACCACATGGGAGAAGCTTAGTGCATCGCTCATCGCATGGTAAGCGGGAGCAAGGGGCCGAGCAAGGCATCTTGCAATCGCCTTGGTGCTCGCAGGACCATGTGCAAGGCTCAACACACGGAGCACAGGGCTCGTGGCACCTTTGTGGACACTTCGTATGTTTGCAACGTACCTGCATGAGATTAGAAAAGTGTCACCAAACTTATAGGTATCACTTACTTCGCAAGGCGCTTGACAAAGACCGCAATCCGTACCATCGTGACATCGGCGACTGCAATCATGATTGCAGGTCCCATGCTTTCTACCACAGGTCTTCCTGCAAGTAGCGTGCTTGACCACTGGTTGATCGTACATATCCTTGGTATTGCACTGAGCGCAGGTTCCGGGGCATGGATGACCACACGACAGAGGTGTGTTGCACAGTGTAGGGCACTTGAAGTCTTTCTTGGAAACATCTACCGAGCACTTCAAGACCACATCGTGTTCGCAGCCAGGTACACGCTTCGAGATCTTGACGTCGCAGAGTATGCGAGTAGGATTCTGGGTGAGATGACAGGCGACGCCGTGCTTGACATGACCACATGGAAGCTGTACGTGGTCCATCAAGATCATACATTTCCCACAAGGCTCTCCACATGTAGCCTTCTGGCATGCATGGTCGCATGGCTGATGCCGGCGTTGGCACGGCTGCTCGCAAAGGAAAACCTCATGCATGGCTTCCGAGTGGCATCGGGCCCCACATTGATGGCCGCAGTCGAGGCGATCGGCACACGCTTCCCTACAACCACCTTCAGGACTCAGCTTGTGAAAGTCGTCGGGCTGCTGTACTTGGGCGTCGGTATCAGGGTGTCGAGGGCAACGCAAAGCCAAAGTCTTTCCAACCGATTCAGTCGCACGTAGCATTCCGATGACTTTCTGCCACATCTCGACACTAGAGTAGGTGTCTGCATTGCCTATGAGGTACATACCATGTTGAGCGCGACTCAGCAAGACATTGATTCGGTTTGTCGTCTTGAGGAAGCCAACGTTTTGGCGGTCGTTACTTCGCACAAGAGAGACAATGATGATCTTGGCTTCTTCTCCTTGGAAGTTGTCGACCGTAGCAACTCTCAGTAGTTCCGACAGCTGCTTCTTTTCTAGCGGCTTACCCTGATAACTCTCGTGAGCGGGTACCGAGGTCTTCGATGTATCGTCATCTTCTACTGCGAAACCGTCCCTCTCAAGCGCTTCTCGATCGCGATCACTGAGGCAGATCTCAAAATCGCTACTCATAGCGCCGCGGAGCTTCTGAAGCTGGCCAGTGTATGGGGTCAGAACTGCGATATCATCAGGCTTGTAGACGCCCTGCCGAACGATATGCCGGACCAAAGCATGCACCATCTTGACTTCCCACAAGTTGGACTTGGACTTCGTATCGTGTGCATCTGCACCCTTCTCGTTTTCGAAGTTGGTGTGGTCGAGCCAAAAGACATTGCGGCGCATACCAACAACATCCGGCAGCTCCATGGTAGACAGATGGTCCTTGAGCTTATCGTAGATGGTTTCGCGAATCAGCGAAGAGATTTGCGGGCGCATTCGACGCTGTACGTTCAGTTGAGCAACGGGCATCAGAGGCCGCCCGGGCTCACCAATTGAGAGTCGCTCGAACTGACTCCGATCCAGTGCATGAAGCTTTCCTCGCTCGCTCTCAAGCGACAAGTCGCGGAAGTTGCTGACAGAGGGTCGAAGCTGCTCGTGATCACCAATCTGGATCAGATGTTCGATATCGGGAAGCATCGCGGAGATCATGTGGCTCTCCATGACCTCTCCAGCCTCCTCACAGATGATGACTTTACACTTCACTTGCTGGAGGACCGAGATACGCTTCGCCAAGCCAGATGTGGTGACCCCAATGACGTCAGCCTCTTCTAGCAGTCGTCGGTTCCGCTCTTCATGGATATTGCTCAGTTGGCGTTGGGTCTTGGCAGCACCATTGACGATTTCGAAAAGCTCGCTGACCTTGTTTCCTTGAGCTTGTGAGACCCAGGAGGCGACAAGCGCACTCCTTTCAAGGAATGACAACGAAAACACGTTTGTAGTCGCCTGGCGAATTATTTGCTGTAACGCGCCCTGAGGTAATGTAGATTGGCCATAGGCCTCAGTACCGGCGATCCATACATCGAATGGATGGCGGCCAGCTGTCTTGAAGCCCTCGTCATCGACGGAACGGAACTGATTGTAGATCTTCGGATGTTCCTCTTGAATAAAACCTTTAAGCTTGTGCCAGTCCGGACGTTTCGACAAGCCATGAAGACCACCAAAGAGCATCTTGGCCTCCTTCTCATTCTGATCCAGATCCTTGTAGTTCATCGCCGCCATATACTTCTCGGACTTGGTCTTCGTCTCCGATTCGCCAACGGTGCGCAGATTATGGTTAAGAAGCTTCTTGGACTTGCTCATACCGCCGACACGGATGAGCTTGTGGACGCCAATGTCGATTAGGTGTTCGAGAAACTGGTCCAAGGCGTGGTTCGTATAGCAAACGATTAGTATAGGTCCGAGATTGCTTTTCTTCTTGATTTCCAGCAGTATCCTCATGATTTGAAGGCCCAGAAAACTCTTTCCTGTCCCTGGGGGCCCCTGGATGAAGGCAAACTCCCGAGTTAGCGCAGCGATGAGCGCGCGACACTGACCACGATCAAGTTCTGTCTTGGCTTCCAGCTTGTCGAGTAACGCCTGATCGTCACATGATGCTGTCGGTTCGATGAAGAACGAGTCTTCTTTATTTCCATCCTTCAAGAGAGAGGTAACGGGGAATTTGAAGCCAGGCGCGCGCGCGTACAGAGGTGGAGGAATTTCGTGCATCTTGCGTGCTGACGGGAGGCCACTGTGTTTGTCCGGGACGATCCACTGCCGAAACGGTAGACGATTGAGTCGCTGCATGGCTTGTAGACTCTCCAAAGTGGGCGAAAAGGTTGCGGGCATGACTTTGGGAAACTCCAATAGGATACCGCGGGCTACTCCGATGTTGGCCTGCATTAGCATCTTTACCGTCGCTCGATCTTGTGTTACCAGGCTAGCCGTCATGTAGGCCAATTGATTGTGGTGTGTCAAGCTGTACTCCTTTGTTGGATCAGTGTCCTTATTTGAGACAGTAAGGAAGATGTGTTGAACGACATTGTCCTGGATCCATATGAAGGACAAAAGCGACCCTTCGTCGAATCGCCTTGAATCCTCCCACCAATTCACCTTTTGGCTAACATTCTTCTTGCGGACTATCGCAGGCTGCAAAAATTCCATTTGAGCTTGCAACCCCATTCGCTTGTCGAGCGTGACGTAGCTGACGCGAGCGCTGGTGTACTGATTGGCGCGTATATCGCCTAGGTTGAGATTGGGGTGGAGCAGCAAGTTGGAGTCTTGAGATACCGCGTGCATGATTCCAGCCAATGACCCCTTCAGCTTACCAAAGATATCGTGGCGCAGGAGGCGGAAGTAGGTATCGATGTGGCGTTGCACACGATCCTCAAGGAAGTGTGGTTGGTCAGGATCGGTATAGGGTAGGAACTCCTTCGCATCGCTCATGATCTCATCTCGGGTCGGGAAGATTACCACGTCGCCAATGTCCTTTTTGTCGTTGTCGAACCGGTCTGAGGGCACTACGAGGTCTCTCGGGTAGAACGACGCGGGGCCGTCAACATCGTTGTCGTCTCCAACCCCATTTTCACCAGTGGGTTCGGCGAGGAGACCGTGAGCTCTAGCTACCAGGGCTCGAATATCATTGAGACGAATGCTTGTCCGTGTTGAGGTATCTGGCGATACTAAGGCCTTGTAGAGGTCGCTCACAGCCTGGATGGAGTCCACCAGCGGTGTGATCTCATCGTTGAACCGAGCTCTGCGCTCACGTCTCAATAGCTCGAAGAGAGCCGTCGCCATCGCATGAAGCGTCGCTTCGTGGTCCTTGGCAGATATCGAGGATGTTCGAGCTGCCACCAGAGCCTTACAAACCCGCTGGAGATATGAGACTGCAGTGCGTCCACCGACACCGCCAAAGAGGTTGTAGATGGAACCGACGTGGGTGTCGACCGCGAGACATCGAAGGAGTGAGGAATGCGTAAGCGTAAGTAGGAAATGGCGGGCGTTGCTGAGGAAGGTGTCGTAGTCCGAGCCGACAACCTTTGAGTTCAGAATGGCGAGGACGTGACGATGACCACTCTCATCGTCCGAATCATCGTTAAGGTCCTGGGGGAGCTGCTGTCGCCAGTCTCGGTCACCAGCTTCGAGTATGCCGAAAGCACCCTCCCAGAGGCGTCGCATGGTCGTTGGATCAGTTTCCGACTCACCAAGGCGGCGCTTCCATGAGCTGTATGACTTTCGTGCCGCTCTCTGCTCATCCGTCTCTTTAGCCCTCGCGGGCTTGGAATCCTTTGTGTTGCGATCGTGCCTGCCTTGGGTAGAACCACCACGTCCACGACCGCGATCTCCACCTCTGCCACCTCTTCCACCACGTCCACCTCGTGGGTTGTGTCCGCCGCCGCGTCCGGACATCGTGAGCTGGTTCGGGCGTAGGTTTTAGCAAGATCTGTGAGAAGATGCGTCGCTGTAGAGATTGTGTCGGTAATAGTCTCCGCTAGGAAGGAGCAACTGTATCTTTTGTGCGGACGCTAGCCGCCAGAAAAACCCTGCACGGTGTGGTGAGAGGTGAGAGAGTGAGACGTGAAGCGGTGGAGGAGCGGACGTAGACAGCAGTGCTGCGAGTGCTGTGTCCAGCGCAAACATTCTTGCATGAGCGTACGGGCGCTTGCATCAGTCAGTCTCGGCGGTGCAGCAAGTTTTAGCCAGACACACTTGTCCTTTTTCACGACTTTAAAAAATGATGTTGGACCCATCCTGCTACCCTTCCATGGTGGACTTGTTGTGATGACGTAATGCGAGTAAGAAGAGGAAAGAGCAAGTGGTCACCCACCATTCATGAAACGGAATGAGCAGGGAACGCAAATATGTCAAGCAGAAGAACCTAGACCATATGATATTGAAGAAGATCCAATACTCCACCTTGATGAGTCTCAAACGCCATTTATGCTCCCCCATGCACATTACTTCGTCCCAACATCCGGAAACAGAACCTGCACCATCTCGTCCAGAAGCGTAAAGGCAATATGCGTACTGTATCCTCGTTAGCATCATCCACCCAAGAACCATTCCGTAAACTTACTTCAACCGGGTATTATTAATAGTCCCCTCAATCTTCTTCGCCGCCAACTGCGCATTCTGCCTTCCCACAACACTACTCGCCAACTCCGGCACAAGGGTGCTCAGAACCTCGCTCGCGGCTTTTCTACTGTTCTCTTTGTCTTTGCTGGTTCGTTCAACACCGACTTTCATCCTGCCGTTCGGCCACATACTGTCCTTCAGCGTGTCGATGTACTTGACGATGTTGTTCTCAGAGAGCAGGTTGTCGAAAGACTCGCGGACTTTGCGTTCAATGGTGCCGCCGAGAAGTTGGTGCAAGACTACGACGACGGCACGGCCTCGGAGCCAGTTGTTCTCGCGGTTTAGCTCGAACGTTTCGAGGAAGATATCGCAGATTGGTTTTACGAAGGGTTCGAGCTCTTTGTTTTCGAAGGCGAGGAGTTCGGCTTCTGCTTCTGCGTCGTTGTTGGGTTCGCCCGCGACCAGAACGCCGGAGGAAGACAGGTTGCCCGGTTGGGCGGTCGCGCCGTTTGTGTTGGCAAGCTGGGTGGTTGCGGCTGATATGAGGTTTTGGCCTGCGACGGATAGCTGATCGAGGACGGGTATGTTGCCTAGAAACTCTTCCATACCATCTGCGACTGAGTTGTAGATGCGAGTTACGAAGTCGTTGGAGTTTGGGTCCTGGTTTCGCAGGGCATCGGCGGGGCTGATCGCAGCTTGTGAGAGGAAGGCGCGTAGTTCGCGGCTGCGGCATACAGCTGGAATGAGTAGAAGCTCCCTTAAATATTTCTCAAGTCCAAGCCTTCTCTTGTGCAGGAAGTCTTTCTGGAGCTTCAGCATCATCTGCCGGCGTGGGAACTCCAGATTTCGGACTTGGGGAAATTTGGCGCGGAGCCTTTTGTTCAGTTCGTGGAACTCGCTGTATCGTCGTGAGACGACCCAAGTAGCGGCAGGCATCTGGTCGCCAGCACGTCGTCGTACTTCGATGACGTACATAGCATACTCCTTGCCGTCTTCCTCTGTGCCGACCATGATTGATTGAATGAACACAGTCGCGCGTCCGTACAAGCTGTTGTCGCTTTCTTGGACGATGTACTGCTGACGCTGTAGCTCTTTCCTCTGTATCTCACGCTGAAGGCTGGCTTTCGATTTTCGCAAGATCCTCAGTTCTGCAGCGTTGTTTGTCAACTCAGCTTTTGATGTAAGAGAGTCGACGATAGACTCTTGGGATACCAGGCGCTCAATATCAGCCGTTAGTGCATCGATAGCTTCGGCGAGACCCAGGTCTCCAGGCGCCGCCTCGTGAATCTCTTCCTCTTCTGCTTTGCTCCTCGGGACTGGGTCATCGATCTCGTCCTCCATGAACCTTTCTTCATCACCAAACAGGTCATCATCAAAGACACCGCGCGTTCTGGGCTCTCCAACCAAGCCAAGGGACGCTATGCTTGGCTTGAGACTGTCTTTGCTTTGCTGCAATTGTGCTTGCGGGGCTGGGGATGACGCTCGTGGTAGATCGACGGATCCTCGCATGGAAACACTGTCTAGTGGCGATTTCAGACCCGGCTCGTAGAATATCGAACCCTCAGGCTCGTCCATAATGTCGATGATGGCAGCCTGCATAGCATCGACGACCTGCGTATTGTTGCCATTGGAGCGGTCATGACCAAAGTCTGAGTTGAGGCTTGCGGTTGAGTGTGCGAGAGGGTCTGAGTCGTAGTCCTCGTCGAAGAGAGGTGCGCGTGCAGATGATGACCTATGTACATCCAAAGAACGGCGTGCAGGTGGCTCAGCGTTTTTGACGGCTCCTTGGCTCTTAAGATCTGATGACGATGCGACGGCTCGGCGCAAGTCTCCTTGTGGTATCTGCAATGCGCTCTTCTGCCTTGACTGGGTGCGAATCATAGCAGGGGCAGCCGCAGACGAATTGTCGAGTGTTTGCGCTACAGTCCTCGTATTCACACTGCTGTTCTGAGCGTTCGCCGCCTCGTCCATGGCCAGCCACTTGTAATACAAGTTGGACTTCTTGAACCTTCGGAAGTAGGGTTCCTGTAATTGTTCGTACGCCGCCGTCTGAGCTTGGAGCAAAGAACGTCGCGCATTATGATACTGCTGCGGAGTCGCCTTCCGCCCGGCTTTGAGAAACTCAGAGACCGCTTGTCGAGCTTCGGGAAGTATCTTCAACTCCGGGTTCGACAAATATCCGTCGTAGATCTGCGCCAGGTCTGCACGGTCAGACTCTGTCCATGCAGGAAGCGAGCCTATATAGTCTGGCGCTTCTTCAGTCTCTACTTCCAATGGATTGCGAAAGCCGTCCACCACGATCCAAAACTGCACCAGCCGCATCAAGTCCGCCTGATCCATGAACTCCATGAAGCAAGACAGTCCTGACGCATCGTACAGCACTTCGCGTAGAGACGCGTTCGCGAACTTGGACGAAGTACGCTTGTGCTTCGGCTTCTCCTGTGCGGCAACCTTTGCCCGAACCGAGCCACCAGCACTGAGGTTGTTGACTTTTGTATCCAGAATCTGTCGCGCTGTTTCTAGACGCCGCAGATAGACAGGGTCTTGATCTTCTACCGTGGAATCCTTCCGCAATTGACTTGACACTTCGCTGCGAAATCGTCTAGCATCTGCAAGAGTATTGGTCTGCCTAATGGCTCGTATGAAACGTTCGAATCGTCGCTCGTTATCGCCGGGCGCAAGCTTTGGAAACTGGACGTTCTTGGGGTTCTTCGGTGAGGGCGGAGCATGTTCATCGAGAGCAGCTCGAATCTTGCGGACAGTTTTCCTTTCCTGTATCAACGATCGTCCCTGAATAGATTAGCGACGGTTTACTATGAGCGGGGATTTTCTTACATATCCCTCCATAAGCTGGTTCCATGTATCTGGGTCAGCAAGCATCTGCATCACAGGAGAGAGGACTGCGCAGGCCACAAGCTCTTTGATCAGTACATTGACAGCGGGACTGGTTGACATGTTCGCAGGCATAATCTTTGGCAGTAGTCGCGTGACGATGCTTCGTAGATGTTGCTGCTGTATAGGCTTGGTATTCGAGTATGCCAACGACGCCGCCGGGTGCAACCGGCCCTCTTTGTATTTGGCTGCGATGGCCAGATCAAGCTCCTCAGAATCTGTGATGTTCCGCGACAGCTTGCGTCCGCGAACTATGCGCTCTGCCTCGTAGGACGCCCGCAAGTGATCGGTGATGAGAGGTATCATGCGCGACACGACTGTCTCGACCATATCTACTGCCAGTATGCGCTCCCGAACTTCGCCCATTGCAGCCCGTATCGCATTGTCCACCTCGTTGACGAATGTCGGGCTTTTGCTGATACTGCCGTACCAGCTCTTCACGAAGTCGCGCAGTATCAGCCCAATGAGCACGTCGATGCTGTCTGATATCATGAAGGACGCGGGGTATAGCGGCTCCATCATGTACATGTTCCTCATGTCCAAAGCCTCCCTCTCAGCCTTCCACCTGTCCGGCGCAACGAAGGCGACATGGCGCGGTCCATAGTCGACCTTTCCTCCGCTTCGTAGGTCTGTGTCCCAGGCGATCGTGAAGGTGAGCCATGCTAGCAGGGCAAGCGTCGCGAGTACTCCGGCGAAGAAGGCGTAGGGCAGGTAGTGCAGCTTCGGCTGCCAATGGGTCAGGTACCCCCAGGCGATGAAGACGGCGATAGCGGCGAAGACCAGATCTCTGCGCTTCACGGGGGCCATAATCGTGCGGGTGGCGCCCGTTTCTGCATCTTGAGCGGGATGGCTGAGGGTGCGGGAGGCTTGGTGTTCTTTGGACAACCCACTTTCGAGCTTAGACCACTGCTGACGTCGACCCGCGTATATCGTATTCAGCGAGTATACAAGCGTTAGTATCTTGATCTTGACAGCGAACTCAACAAGTGTAGAACATAGAGAGCACCTTATGAAGTTTCTGGATTGCGCTAGAGTTTTGAGCGCTATCAACCCCCGTGGAAAACTGCGCTCCTCGTATTTGGTATAACCTCCAATGCAGATAATGCCATGATCCCAATAGTTTACATTCATGACGCCGTTCCAACTCCGATACTATGCACAAGCTTTCTCGTCTGCCCCGACCATATCCATCTAGAATTTCCGTCGTCCAAGTGTCGGCTTCCAGTCGAGCGGGTGTGTCTCTTCCGTGGCGTTCTCGTCCTGCTTCCAAATCTTGATAGACTTGTCCGACTCTCCGGTGATGAGACGCAGGCCGGTCTTGTCGAATGTCGAGCACATAACACCTGCTTCGGCCTCAAGAGAACCCGGTTGTGCGATACTTTCGCCATGCTGGAACCGATGGCCTGTCTTCCAGTCGTAGAACGAGGCTTCGCCGTTGTCGC